ACAATTTTATTGATATATTTATATTAATATTTTAAATGGTATCATTAGAATGACTTTTTCCCCATAAATTGTAAAACTTTTTCTTCTCTAATTAAAATTAAAATAAGTTAAAAAAATTAGTACTTGTTAATTTAACAAATGACATAGTAAATTTCCTCACAAAGCAATATACAGTTATACACACACAAACACACACACACAAAAGCCACCACTTTCAACTTAACATTTTCATGTTGCAGGGATCACATAAACTCAAATCTGCAAAATATAAAACAATATTAGTGTATGTTATTATTTATATTAGAAACTCGCATGATAAATAAAGAATTATATTTATTATAATATAAATAATCAACGACCACCCATACTCCTTTATACAACAATTTTTCCTTAAAACTATTAATTTATTAGAAGAAGAACAATAGTCTGTAAATAATTAATCAACTGTAACCATATTGATAGTCGATAGAAGTCCACATTTTTGGTATGTAATTTTAAAAAATCTTGGATAGTTTTTCATACCTGATTTTAAATTAATGCATATGATAATTCACTGCTTGAAGCAATACATTTGTGCATTGAAGATGAGTTTCTCACTCTGAAAAATGATTGTTCTAAAGGATAATACTAACAAAATGAATAATTTTTTTCTGAAAAAAGAAGACATTTATTTATAGAATGAATTAAGCAAATTGATAAATGGGTAGGTGGTTGCCTTTATTATAGGAATTCAAAAATAAAAGGTAGTTACATATTTGAAAAAAACCGTATTTTTTAGATATGTTTTTTTTTTCAGATTTAAATTAAACCGTATTTGATTATCCTTTAAGCAAATTTTCATATTTAAATGGGAAGTTAGATAAACATGGAATTTATTAGATTTTTTCTTTTTCTCTTTTTGGGGTCTTTTTTTTATATACATTTTCTTTTTAAAAATAAATAAATCCGTGAGTTGGTTATTTTTTTGAAAAATTCACATTTAATTAGTGGCCATTTTACTTTTCATTATTATTATTATTATTATTATTATTTTTTTATTATTATTAATAAGAGTTAAGAAAATAATTACGTGGGTTGGTTACTTATTTTGAAAAAAACACATTTAAAATATTTTTTATTTTTTAAAACTAAAGTATATCTTCATTTAACAGATTTTTTAAATATGGGGGGTAGTTTTGCTATTTATTTACT